AAGTAAATCTCTTTAAAAATCACAACAAAAATAATTCAAAGGCTAAAAAAAAAAAAAAAAAAAAAAAGTAGTGGTTTTCCAGAGGGAAAGGAGAAGGGAAGTGTCAGGGAAGCATATTTGGTAAACCTGATAGTGGAAATAGCACTAGAAATTTGAGAGTGGGTAACGTGAGATATATATACACATAAAGAGATGAAGCTGTCCCCCTTAGATTTATATAGCATTGTCAAACAATGTTAAATAGGGTAAATACATTCAAGTTATTTTAAAAAATACTTGAAATTAAAACTATGCCATTAGATAAACAAAAGGAAAAAATCAAACTCATTCCTGCTTTTTATAATAGGACTTTAATTCAGATACACATAGAAGTTACTAACAATTGGCATCTTTCCTTTAGAAATACAGGCTTTAGGAAAACTGTCAAATATTTGAAATAAAAACAAATCACATCCTACCAGTGATGGAGGAGGGATACATTTTGTATTTGATTACATTCTGAGAATATATATATATATAACAAAAAAAAATACAAGGGATTTCAGGACATCACTGGAGGACTTGTATATGAATTAGAATGATGTCAGGTTTTTAGGCTCTACTCTGTTGCTTAAGCCCTTTATAAATGGGTCTGATATAAATTGTGGTAATCCCCTTTTTCTAAGAGGAGGGGCTGCTTTTCCTCAAGGATCTGCTTCTTCTTGTGATGATATAACAGGCAAGTGAGCCCTCCCAGCACAGCTGTAAGGAGAGCACCCACCATAGCAGCACCAAGAAGTGATGGCCAGATCTGTCTTGCTTGTTCCAAGTAGGGCATAATGTAATCTTGGAAAAAGTCTGGATCTGAAATAGAAATACATCTCAGTGTTTTACTGGTACCATATTCATCCCCATTACTGTCACTATCAGCATACATCATCATCATCATGTCCACCACCATTATCATCATCTTCAAATGGGACTTTAGATGCAGGCACTTCGGTATGCATGTCAGCTCTGCTATGGTCTAGTTGCAAGAACTTGGGAAAGTTACAACTGGTATAACTAAGCCTCATCTCCATTAGGAACAATAATATCTTATTGTAGTATTTTAGTTTATAGATACTATCTGATCTGCAGGGTACTTAGTCTCTGGTATGCATTAATTAAATGTTAACCACTATTTTCACATTTCTTCCGCTGATATTACAATAATCCAAATGATCTAAGAATATTATTATGTCATTAGTCATTCAATAATGCAATATTTTAATCATTTTAAAAGCATTGATAAGCTAAAATGCTTAAAAACGCTCATTATCATAGTAGGATATCAACATTGAACACTATGGAAGTATTTTTAAAAATAAAAAAAATGTTCAACTGTCTTCAAAATAATTTCAAGCAACATAAAATGTCTAATTCCTCATGTTTTGATTATTGTATTGTTTTAAGTCACATAAAGAAATATCCTGTTGGTTCCTCCCTAGTGGAGGTTTAAAGTGGATCTAAGAAGTTGCAGCACAAAGTTTGATCCTTGGCCAAGGAGCTGACCCATATGGTATTGCAGACCTCTCCTGTCTTGCTGGCTCAGCAATGTATTTCAGTACATCTGCCTGTTCTGCTCCCCATTCTGTCTCTGGTGAATCCTCTCACCACCCCCCATACTTCAGGTCAGTACCCCAGTCTTTTGTGCATAAATAAATAAAACATGTTTTAAAGGAAATAAATACCCTGTCGTCAGTGTACCCAGAGTGGAAAACTCTGAATAGTGTGGAGGCACACAAACTTGAGAGGGAAAAAATATGTGTGGATGTGGTGCTCCCAGTGGGACAGAAAGAATACCGGTTTCTACATTACTAGGAATTGATACTGACCTTGTGAATCTTACTAATAATGTGCAGAGAATGCAAAGCTTTGGGTCTGGTGCCACAAAAAAGTAGATATTGTCAATACTACAAACATGAGCCTGCCAATGATGTGATACCTCCAAACCACACTCCTACCCCTTGACTTAACAACTATAATATCAGGTCTCAAATCTATGGAAGACCTGGAAGTCCAAACATCAATATAAAAAATACAACACAACCAGCTTGCCAGCTTGAAAGATTGAAGCAGTTCAAACTTCTAAGATCTAAAACAATGAAACAATGAAATAGACAGGAAAAAAAAAAAAAAGGAAGACTATGACACCATGATACGAGAACAATTCTCTTGACCTGAACCACAGAGATATGGAAGATTTTATCTTCTCATCAGATAGAGCATTCACGTTTGTCATTTTTATGAAATTAAAATAAATGTTAAAAATTCAGAAAAACAATTAATATATGGTAAACACATAAAATCTTAAAAAAGAGACACAACCCAATTCAGAAAGACAAATGTATATCATGAGATATATAATTAATGAATAGAAACTAGTTACTGAAAATTTGAATTTGAAAAGATTGTAAGGTCCTCCTTGTTGGCACAGCGGGTTAAAGCACAGCACTGAGAAACTAAAGCTACCTCCGCATGAATTCTGGCATGGCAGACCTCTCCTGACCCGCCGGCTGTTCCCTTCAGCAGTATACTTCGTCAGTCTGCCAGTTCTGCTCCCTAGTCTGTCTATGGTGAAACCTCTCGCCGCCCCTGAGCCTCTGGTCTGTACACCAGTTCTGTATGCACAAATAAATAAATGTTTAAAAAATTATAAATAAATAAATAGTTAAATAAATAAATAAATAATAAAAAGATTTTAAAGGGCCCTCTCTGTTGGTGCAGCTGGTTAAAGCACAGCACTAAGAATCTAAAGCTACTTCAGCATGAGTTCTAACCTGTCCTGCTCCGGAGGTGATCCACATGGTGGCAGACCTCTCCTGACTGGCACACTACTCCCCTCAGTCAGCCTGTTCTGCTCCCCACTCTGTCTCTGGTGAATCCTCTCACCTGCACTTCTGGCCTGTACCCCAGTTCTGTATGCATAAATAAATCAATCTTTAAAAAATCGTATGATGGAGAAATCAGTAAATGAGATTAAAAAATTCTCTGAAAGCTAGGGAAGCAGACTACATCAAATTGTGGATCAGCTAGTTGTATTAAATTTATTAATGTACCAAAGGACCCGGATGTAAGAAAAATATGGAAAAGAAAATGAAGAAACATTTTGAGATTCATACCAAAATGCCATCTGACATCTTTAATAATGGTCTATATCAAAATATAGATCATTGAAAGAGGTATGAAAAAAAGGAACCCTTAGACACTATTGATGAGAATGGAAACAAGTGTCCAACCATTTTGAGAGAGGGAGAGGGTGAAGGTGGGGGAGTAGGTAACATCAGGGGAGGAAACAGTATTGGAGGACAGGAGACACTTTGGTAGTGGACCCAGGGGAGAAACCCTATACTATGAAAAAGTAAACAGGAATATTTACAAAATAGATAGGTAGATAGATAGATAGATAGATAGACAAACAAAAATCAATCAATCAATCACCAAAATAAACCCCAAAAATTTGATGCAGAATTGAGGTTAGAAGTATTATAAAATGAGGCTGCGGGGGGGCAGGAGGGAAGTCCAATAGACTATGATGAAAGATTATGGGTGATTTGTTTGTTGGTGTAATGTGGTAAAATTACATCTGAAAAGGTGTGACTGTTTACCACTACATCATATATGGTATTTATTTTTTAAGATTTATTTTTTTATGCACACAAGGCTGGGGTACAGGCCAGAAATGTAGGGGTGGTAAGATGCATCACCAGAGACAGGCTGGGGAGCAGAACAGGCCAACTGGCCAATACACTGTTGAGGGGAGCAGCGGTCAGGTCAGGAGAGGTCTGCTGTGCCATGTGGGTCACCTCCGGGGGCAGGGATAGAACTCATGCTGAAGTGGCTTTAGCTTCTGAGTGATGTGCTTTAACTCACTGACTCACCAGGGAGGGCCTATATATGGTATTTTTTACAAAGTTCACTTTAATATAAGCATTACAACATAAAATGCATGCTTGATGTCATATTTATGTGTTTACAAAAACTTGGGTGGAAAAAAAAGAGTACAAAATCCTAGCAAGTGAGCAATAAATTTATGAGCCATTTTAATTGTATGTATCCTGATTTTTTTTAAGATTTATTTTATTAATACAGAATTGGGGTACAGGCCAGAGATGCGGAGGGTGAGAGGAGGGAGAGAGACAGAGTGGCGGACCCACAAAGCACACTGCGGAGGGGAGCAGCGGGCGGGTCAGGAGAGGTCTGCTGTGCCATGTAGGTCACCTCCATGGTGGCGGGGTTGGAACTCATGCTGAAGTGGCTCCAGCTTCTCAGCACTGTGCTTCAACCCGCTGCGCCACCAGGGAGGGTCTGTATCCTGATTTTTAATGATCTAAAATGTAAAACAAATGTATTTTCTTATACAAATAGCTTATATGATACCAAGAATTACCTAAAGTAAATAAGCATTGACCTGATGATAATTTGGATATTCTAGATCAGATAATATGTATTAAAAGGAAGAGTGATTTTAAGATTCTATAAATTAAACCCATCTCCACTAGCTTACAAATAACTATAGAAATAAAGAATTCTTCTCACTATAAACTACATATTTAACACATTATCAGTTAATGAGGTAAATTAAAAATTATCTGAATGCAGTTATGGTATGCATTTAGGAAATGCCATTAATATCAAAATTGGGTAAATGAAGACAGTTTTATATACATTCAATAAAAATAGAGATTATAGAAGACACTGTAAGAAATATTTTATGAAGTACATAGAAAATATAGTGTATGTGTAGATATATATAGTGTATACTGTATATATGTGCATATATACAGAACACACACAAACACACAACAAATATAATGAGATCAATTGTAGTGAAACTTCCATGAGTTAAAGGAAAAGTTATCAGTCATAGAAAAGCTATCAATCAAGTGGAAAGGAGCAGATAACATATAAGGGCTAAAAACTGCTTTGACTATGGTCAAGAAGAGAATGGAATGACATGTTCTAAGTACATAAAGACAATAACTGTTAGCCAAGAATATTTTACCTTGCAAGGTTTTCCTTTAGCTATGTGTGTGTGTGTGGGGGGGGGCAACAACACATACTCCTCAGACAAAAAGAAAATGAAGGTATTTTCACATATATATTGGAAGGAGCACTTGCATCAAAACCAAAGAAAGGGACATATACAAGAAAACTGAAAAAGAAAATAGATTGAACCACAACATTAAGGACAACTTGTCAGCAGAAGAATTTCAGGTATCAATAATCACTAAATGTAAATGTTATGGATTTGCCAATTAAAAAGCACAGCCTTTCACCTCCTTTATTAGGTTTATCCCTAGGTATTTATTTATTTATATATATGTTTGTTTGTTTAGTGCAATTGTAAATGGTGTTTTTTTTTTCCTAGGATTTATTTATTTATGCATAAAGAGTTGGAGTACAAGCTAGAGGTGAAGGGGTTGTGAGAGGATTCACCAGAGACAGTGGGGAACAGAACAGGCAGACTGATGAAGTACACTGCTGAGGGGAGAAGCGGGCGTGCCAGGAGAGGTCTTCCATGCCATGTGGATCACCTCTGAGGTAGGTGGGGATCGAACTCATGCTGAAGTAAGTGGCTTTAGCTTCTTAGTGCTGTGCTTTAACTTGCTGCACCACCAGAGAGGGCCCTGGTGTTCTTTTTTTATTCTTTGTAAGTAGGAAAGCTACTCATTTTTGTTTGTTGATTTCATAATCTGCTATTTCACTAAACTGGCTTATTGTATTAGTAAGTTTTTCTGTAGATATTTTAGGGTTGACTCTTCAACTGCACTTAACACATACTGAAGTTTCTTACTTTTTTGTACAATTTTCTTACTTCCACAATAAATTTAGTTTTTGAAGTCAGGAACCATGTCAGTTTTTTACATAAACTACAGTCTAGAATATAAGGCAAAAATATTCTTATGTTAATTTTACTATTTTTGTTTTTGTGAATTAATGCACCATCATTACTTGAATACTGACAAACCATTTGTTATTTTATTACATTTTGGTTGTTTATCCTTATGTGTTAGAATAAAAGCATATGTAGTGGAATGAAGAACCACTTAATATTAAAGTCTGACTCTACATATCGTGTTTGATATTGATAAAAATCACATAAATTCTCATAGCATCAGTTTTCCCCTTTTCTAGGAATGATAACTAACTTTATGTACTGTTCAACGCAGACATGGAAACTGCAAGTGGCAGGCTGCCTGACAGAGGGAGACATTATGGTCTGTTCCACATTTGTCAAGAAGAAGCTGACATAGTCATTCTCAAAATGTTTACTTAAAACCTAGATTTAGTTTAATAATAAGGTTTCATATTACTACCTGAATCTCAATCATAACAACTCTTCTTATAATAATTATCACTATTAATTTTAGTTGGATTTAAAAATCAATATCCTAACAAATTTTCTTGCTAGCCATAGCAGGTATGTCCTAAAGATGATTCCAAAACTGTGTGTTATACTACAGTAGGCTCTTTTATACATCAATCACTTAACTATCAAATAACTCTTGAAGGTGTTATGATTTCAGGTTTAGAAAGTGATATTGAGCCCTCCCTGGTGGCACATTGGGTAAAAGCACAGCACTAAGAAGCTAAAGCCATTTCAGCATGAGTTCTATCCCTGCCCTGGAGGTGATCCACAAGGCACAACAGACCTCTCCTGACCTGCCGGCTGCTCTCCTCAACAGTGTACTTGGTCAGTCAACCTGTTGTTGTGCTCCCCACTCTGTCTCTGGTTAATCCTCTCACTGCCTCTACACCTCTGGCCTGTATCCCGGTTCTGTATGCATAGATAAATAAATGTTATTATCATTTTTAAAGTAGGATTTAGGAGACCCTGCCAGTGCTACTCCCCCCTTCCCCCCATCAGCAGATAGATCAGAACTTTCCAAGTTTTCCTGCCAATGCCCATTTGGACCTGCAGAGATGTAGTATAGTGAAACCTCTTGCCTAAATAAATGAGAACTAGACCAGTGAGGGGTGATAAGCCATGCCTAGAAGAAGCTAGATTCCAAAGATATTAATGAACAGAAGAAAAAAGCCAACAAGTGGTAACATGATACCTCAAAGAAAAAGTACAAGAGAGAGAGAGAGCACATAAGACCAGACACTGAATTTATAGATGTGGACACTATATTTGCATATAAGGAATATAATTTAGAATTGCAATGGTAAAGATATTCAAATAAATGGAAGAAGACAAATACAGACAAATGTATATCCTTGGAAATAAAAATAATGAACTGAAGGGAGAAACTGAAGCTCTAAATAAGATAAAAATAGAATTCCAGGATTTAAAAAAGACATATATAGGAGGAAAAAAAATCTAGAAAGTCACAGATATAGAATATATTGAGTAGAAAAAACAGCCATGTGGTTGCACATGCATATCTATAAAGAAATTGAGATTAAAAAAAATTGTGTTAAAATCTCCCAAAGTCAAATAACAGTCAGCAGATAGTCATGTCTCAAAACATTTCTTTCTTATTTTAATTTTAGTTATTTCTTCTTGGTGACAAAGTAAAAATCATTTCACTTTCTTTGCTTTGGTGGATAGATTCAACCACACAATGCCGAATTACATTATTCTAAGCATAATGACTATAAGTTGAAAAATGCCTGCAACTTGGTTCATGTAATAATAAATTAAAAATTAAGGGTTATGATGCATCTTTCCAACTTAAAGGTTATGGAGATAATATTGCAATACTTCCGAATTTATACATTTTGAAAAGAAATAGGTAGATTCAAAAATTCATATGAAAAAAATTTAACTTTACCTGAATCTTGTAGATAGCTATACTCATAGCCCAGATCTCTGGATGAGATAAAGAATTCACCATTTCTGTACAGTGGTATGAAAGGAACCATGTAGGATTCTCGGTTATGTCCAATGGGTGCATTGGCTTCTGGATAAACTTCTTGAAGAGGTTGATGCCTTTGGAGCCATTGTTCAAAAATACTGTACAGGAAAGAATTATCTAAATTTAGACAAGTATTGTTCATAAAATAAATATTTGAAATTCTTAGCCAAACACCATCACAAATCATAAAATCCAAAGACAAAAGATGCTACAAGAATTTCTATGTTTTGAAAATATTTTTAAGGCATCACTAGTTACTATCAGGCCTTAATGAAGCTAATGCATTTGAAAGAAATATTAGAGTATAATATTGAAAACAAATTTCTTTGAAGAGATTGAAATTTAAATGGAAAATTTAGATCCCCAAAATATGGCAGAGCAAGGATAATTATTGTTTCAGTGATAATTGAGTCATATTTGGAATTGAAATGTGTCTCTTATTTGGGATTTATTAAACTGTTCTAAAATTTATTGTGATAATGGTTATAAAACCTTTTGAATCTATTAACATTCATTGAATTGTAAAAGAATAACACAAATCTAAATTTAAATCAGTAGGGAGATTTAAATTTAGTTTAGTCATTAGTATCTAAATCAGTAGGGAGATTTAAATTTAGTTTAGTCATTAGTGGTCTTTAGTTTAGTCATTGAGTGTACCTTTCAGTTATTTTAAATTCCCTATTTGTTTGTTGTATATACTTAATAAGTCATGGTAAGAAAAATAATTCAATTTCCATGAGAGAGGATATAAACATTTGCAATATTTTTCTGAATGTGTAATGTCTCCTGAATCTAGTGTATGATCACTCACCTGAAGTAAATAAAAATTATATATATATATGTATATATATATACTCTCTTAAATGGGTATATATATATATATATATATATACCCATTTAAGAGAGTGCAACAAGAGATAGTGGCACAGAGAAGAAATATCAAGGGAAAACTATTTTAATAGTTGGCCATGGGCAATTGCAATAACATCGCTCAATTTTTAGGAGCAGCAAGGACTAAATTGACTCTGATGTTTAAGAACATCCTAAGTTTGATGTCATGATGTGTGTATGTGTGTGTGTGTGTGTATACAATCACATAACCATGTCTGTGTGTGTGTACACACACACACACACACACACACACCACATCTTGATCCAATCATCTTTTTTTTTGGCATTTGTCTATTTTTCATATTGTTAAAAGTCCAGCAATAAACATAGGGGTGCAAGTATTCTTTTCAATTAATGTTTTTGTTTTCTTTGGGTAGATACTTAGGAGTAGAATTGTTAGGTCCTATAGTATCTCTATTTTTAGTCATTTGGGGAACATCCACAGAGTTTTCCATAGTTGTTGGAACACTTTGTATTCACTCTAGCAGTATCGGAGAGTTCATTTTTATTGACATCCTTGCCACCATTTGTTGTTGTTGTTATTTTTTTTTAATATGTACCATTCTTATTTGTGTGAGGTGGTATCTCATTGTGGTTTTGATTTGTATTTCTCTGCTTATAAGTGATGTTGAATATTTTTCATAATTGTCCATTTTCATTTCTTTGGAGAAATGTCTGTTTAACATTTTTTTCTGACTGGGTTGTTTACTTTGTTTTGTTAAGTTGTGTGATATCTTTATAGAGCTTGGTGATCATTCCCTTATCAGCTTTATGGAGTGTAAAAATTTTATCGCAATGAGTAGCATGCTTCTTTGTTTTGGTTACTGTCTATTTTGCTGTATAGGAGCTTTTTAGCTTGATGTAAATATCCCAGCTGCTTATATTTTCCTTTACTTTCTTTGGTGGATTGATTCAACACAATGCCAAATGCACTGCTGAGGGGTGTAGTGGGCAGGTCAGGAGTAGTCTGCTGTGCTGTATGAGTCACCTCCCTGGCCAGGGATTGAATTTGTCCTGCAGTGGCTGTGGATCGCCTCATACATAGTGCTATGCTTTTTAACCACTGCAGCACCAGAAAGGATCTCTTGTAATTTTTTTTTTAAGATTTATTTATTTATTTGTACAGAACTGGGGTACAGGCCAGAGATGCAGAGGGTGAGAGGATTCACCAGACAAAGCGGGAAGTAGACCAGGAAGATCTACGAAGTACACTGCTGAGGGGAGCAGCGGGCGGGTCAGGAGAGGTCTTCCACACCATGTGGTCTCCTCCGGGGCAGGCGGGGATCGAACTCATGTGGAAGTGGCTTTAGTTTCTCAGTTCAGTGCTTTAACCCGCTGCGCCACCAGGGAGGGCCATAGAAAGGATCTCTTGTAAATTTTTAATGAGCTGTTTTGTGGTGGTTGTTTTTTTCTCCATTTCTCAATTTTTTTAATGACGATATTAAATTCTGTATCTAATAGGAAGAAAACATCTGATTATTTGTAGAGTGGTCCTTTGTTGTTTATTTTTGTGTGTAGCATATCATTCTCTTGAGAATTCAAGTTGCCATTAGTTATATTTTTTTCCACTTCTCTGTAATTGACATTCTTTGTAGTAAATGTACAGATTCCACTTTTCCAGTAGATTGTGCTGTATGACTGGGTGACTAAAATGTAGCATTCTTCTGGGGTGGAATTTTGTCTGGGCTAATCTAGGCTAGTCTCCCAGGAGCCAATCAAGGATCCTTACTTTGGTAACATCCACTCTAAGAGATTGATCCTTACAACAACCTCAGTTCATCTGAGGAGGATAGATGTAGCTGCACTATGCCTGCTGTATCTGAGGCTGAAATAAGTAACTAGAATTTGACTGCCTAACTGATGGCAGCATAAGAAATGATTTCTAAAGATGTGACTATCACTTACTCATTCTGGGACTTTTAGAAAATTGGCATCTGATAAATATAATCCCAGTTCCTTGTCTTCACTTTTCCATTACAACTATTAATTTACTGTTCACCTGACATTTCCATTGAAATGTCTCAAAAGCAGTCAGGACAATTCTCATATATCGACATTCCTTCTTCATCTGCAGTTCTCCAATGCTTTACATCATTTGAAATAAATGTATCTTGCCCAGTAACACAGAGACAGAGGGGACAGAAGAACAAGCAGATCTATTGAAATAAATTACTGAGAGGAACAGCAGGTGAGACTGGGAGGACTGCTATGCCATGTGGGCCAACTCCATGGCTGGGGATCAAACTCGTGCTGCGTGATTATGGATAGCTTCATAGTGGTAAAAGTTAATCCCTCGCACCACCACAGAGGCCCCCTTAAAATACAGAAATTAAAAAAAAGTGTATTAAAAAATTATGCTATGTACAAGAGGGGTTATACCAGGACTACAAGGGTGATTCAACATCTGAAAAGCATCAATATAATCCACCACATCAGAAAAAAATAAAAGGAAAAACAAAACACTTAATCATATCAGTATATGGTGAGAAAGCATTTGGCAATATTTGGCATTAATTTATGCTTAAAATCCTTGAAAAAACTGGAGGAAACAGAATATATCTTAGCATAATAAAAACATAACATATATGATGAATCTAAAATTACTTTCTATGAAGAAGTTGAAGATATTTCCACTAAGAAAGTATGGGCACTCTGCTTCTACTATTCACATAGTATTAGAAGAACTAGCTAGCACAAGTAGAGATTCCTCTGAGTGGGCACAAAGAGCCCTGGAGACCTTGAGGGAGGACTGGCGGCCTGCACAACTAGGGGACATGCATAATTAGGACTCAAGAGGTGTTACTGGACAGCAGTGACTGGAAGACTTGTGAGCCAGTAAAGCACTGGCTTGCAAGATTCACAGTGCTCAGAAAATAAACTCAACCATAGGCCCAGCAGCAAAACTTCAAATGAACCACAACTCCACTGATACATCCAAGCATAGAGGGAACCTGGGACATCAGAAGGCTACAAAGATCAACAGGCACCTTCCAGAGGCAAGGGCTCAACATGTTACCAGACAAATCTGAACACCACAAGAGACCCCTGATTGTCACTGGCAGAGATGACAGATATAATTCCACACAGTAGGGGCTGAATAAACAAGAGGTATTGAAACAAAACAAAGCTCAGAATACCCTCCAAAACTGCAGTGTCTGCCATCCCAGAAAGAACATCAAGAAAGAAGGGTGGTCCATAACAGCAACACTGTGTCTCAACAAATAGAGAATATTAGAAAATATACAACAGGGGAAAGAAGACAAGCAAATCCTCAAGCAAGTCCACAGAGGGAAAATTCACCACAAAAAAATCAATCACCAGATAGCACCAAAGAAATACAAAAACTGCTCAGCCTACAAGGTAGAGAATTCAGAATTATCATGATAAACAAACAAACAAACAAAAAAAAATAGAAGAAGATGAGAAGAAAAATGATGTGAAGCAAACCATCAGGACTTGAAGAATGCAAACAAGGAAATGAATAAATAAATGAAAAAGAATAAAACTACATGAGACAAGCAATCAAAAAACTGAAGAAAGAAAATGAGACATTAAAAGGAAGAAGTAGAAGAAATGCAGGAGATGAAAAGTCCACTGGAGGAAATAAAGAATACTGGGGAAAGTAACAAAAACAGAATTGATGAAATGGAAGAAGGAATCAGCTCCCTCGAAGATTCAGAAATAAAGAGAATTAAACCAGAAAAAGAAAGACAAATGAAAAGGAAAAAGGAATGAAGAAACACATCAAGGGCTATCTGTCCCCATTAGGAAAGGAAATATCAGAGTTATAGGTATCCCAGAAGGAGAAGAGAAAGGCCAAGGAATCGAGAAAATATTCACAGAGATAAAAGAAGAGAACTTCCCTAATATGAAGGAGATAAAAGTGGATATCCAATAAGCAAGATGAACACCAAACTACCATGACAACAGGATAAATGCAGTAAGACACATCATAGTGAAACTAGGAAGAATACAAGGCAAGAGGAAACAAACAAACAAACAAAAAATATATAAAGGGAAACCGATAAAGCTGACATCAGACTTCTCTGAAGTAAAACTATGGGAAGGAAAATAGTGGAGGGACATACTCAACAAGCTCCAAAGCAAAATACTAATATCAAAACCTAACAAAGAAAACACACATAAAAGAAAACTTCAGGCCAATCTCCTTAATGAACACCAATGCAATAATCCTCAACAAAACTTT